ACGATTGAAAATAAACACTTCTACAGATGAGACATACACTAAACGCGATATAACGACAACGACATGTTCTACACCAATATTACAGATTATAATCGATCACCTTTATATCTCACATATACCAATCATAATAAAAACGATTCGATTGATCATACTCTCTTTCAATACGATACAAACGATATAACTAATAAATCGAATAGATATTTGATACTCGCATACATAACATTATAACAAAAGGAAAAAAAAAAGAGAGAATATTGACATGTATTTTTTTTTTTTTTTGCAATCGAATATGATTTGAATAAACGATAAAATTCTTCGTTTATTTTTTTTTTTTTTAAATGTTTCTCAATAATAGTTAGATAATATTCTTAATGATAGATGTGCCTTAAGGACAAATAACGTTTTCATCTTTTCTTTTTTCTATCATTTAATCATTGAATTTCTCCTTTTTTTGTTTGTTCTCTTCATAATCGAATCAAGCACACCAATAAACACGAAATGCTCTAAGTGCATCATTATAATGACATGCCAATGAACTAAACGCGCGACAATCATTAAAAACAACGCCTACCACCTATACATACTCAATAACTATAAACCAGATCACTCATGATCATGATCATCATCTGTATATATATATTGATCTTTTTCATAGATATATCTTTTGTTTTATTTTTATTTAAAATTGACCTAAAGGTAAAAAAAAAAACTAAGTAAATGATAAAGGACTAGTTTTAACAATCAATAATTGTATTCGATATAAAAATGCACGGGTATTGTTGAATAAACACATATTAGTTAGAAAAACAATTTTATTCTCGACAATGACAACATTACTTACGGAAACTTGATTAATTTCCGTAACTGATGGTAGAACGTGTGTGCACTGTTTTTTTTTTTCCACTAAATCAATATTGAATGAGAATGACGACAATCAAATTCTTTTTTTTTTTACTTTAATTGAAGATTTTTTTTAATCGTTTATTTTTTTTGTTTAAATGAAGAAAGAGAAAAAAAAAAAAAAACAAAACTAAAAAGTGAAGATGTTTGATCATTGTTAATCGAGTTTATGTATATTTGATGGACACATGAGATTAATCTATTTGACACTAATTAAATGACAAGTTAACCCGAACAAATAATTATTTGAATAAAATTTAAATGTTTATTTATAATCAAAAAGAAAAAGAAAATTATATTTAACAAATAAAATTTGAGATGTTTATTAAGTAATTATTATTTATCTTAACATAAGGTCTCTTAAAATTTGATCAATGTTACAATTCAATAGATCATATATCACACCAACTATTTATATTTACATTTATTAACAATAAACATCTCAACTTACAATATCATTTTTACTCGTCATTAAAACAAATTATTATCAGTTTTACTTTATCATTCATCGATGATTATTTCCGTTTTCATATGAAAATTATTATCATTTACAATTTGTTTTCTATTTTCGAGTTAAATATATTAAAATAAAAATTTTAATTGATAAAAGATTTTTTTTTTTTTTATTTAAATTGATTTTTCAATAATCATTCTAACATATTATTAATAAAATATCAATTATTAAAGTTATTCATATGAAGAATTTATATTTAAAAAAAAAAAAATTTTTTTTAATTAAAGTTAATAAAATATCAATTAGTACTATTCTTTTCGAATTCAAATTAAATATATAAACGTACCAACGAATCTCTTTAGTGTAGTCACTTTTCAATTTCATCAATGATTGTTTTGCTCAAAAATATACAAGATAGTGTTCATGTTCGAAGATAAATTCTACAAGGATTTTTTATTCTTATTGATATTTAATTATGATATCAAATATTGAATAGGTCGATTTTCTAGAGACTTCACCTTTTAAAAAAACTTCTATTTTACAATTTTGATCTAAAACTTCATGTAAACTAGACTTACTTACATAAAACAAAACTTACAAGCTTTGAAAGAAGTTTTTTTTAGATATATATTTTTCAAAACACTGGATTTTCTATACGATTCAATAGAAAAAAAAGAGTCAAGATCTTGAAAGTTTCATATATCGAAAAGGCTTAGTTGAAAATTTATGAAGTTTTGCTTTATGTAAGTAAATCATAGTCAGTGGCGGATTTAGAGGGGGGGGGCGCTTGGGGCGATCGCCCCCATTCGAAAAAAAATTTTTCGATTTTTCCCAGCAGAAAAGACTTAAAAATAGAGTGCATACTACTACTAATGAACTTCAAAACTCGATTTTTGGTCAAAATCGCCCCTTATCAAAAAAAATCCTAGATCCGCCGCTGATCATAGTTAAATTGTTTACAATACATCATTCACATTTAAGACTAGTTTTTCGACATGTTGAGCCTTCTTCAATACAAAAAATATTCAACATCTCATAACTTAGTCAAATATTAACAAGAATACAAATATTTTCAGGATTTATATAAGAATATTATGTTGTATATATAGGAAAAACATCATTGAAAATTGAAAAGGTGAGGCTTTTTCATAAGTTTTCATCTAATTGTTAAAATAGTATACAAGATAAATGATGAAGTTTCAAAATATTTGACTATAATACTGTTCGATCTAAGAAAGTTTTCTATTATAAAAATATTTTCTAATGCATAAAACAATAATATATTAATATTTAACTTGGTAGAATTTTCTCTTATCATATATGGAAATTAAATGGATATAAACGAATTATATTTCCATAATAATTAATTTATTAGTTTTTATGGAAAATTCTTTTTTCTGTTGTTTTGTTTTTTTTGTTTATAGAAATATGAACAATTCAATGAATGTAATTTTGTTTTAGTGTTCTAACCAAGGATGATAGTCGAAGTTATAATTTACCGATATCCTTTCCATTACTACTAGAATAAAGAAAAAAAAAATAACTAATTATTCCCATAATTTATGCTATAGTTTTTCATATTAATATAAATTATATGTTCTTCTTTTTTTTGTTGTCATATTTACAGCAGTTTCATAAGAAAGATATCTATCTGTTCAAGTAACTTTTACCTAGTCGTTGTCAATGTTTTTTTTTCTAGATAAACAGCTACAATCGTATTTCGGTTTTCTTTTTCGACAAAGAAAATCTATGAATATTTTCATTGTTGAGATGTCTTTATATTCTTATAAACTTTATTAATTTTACCAAAGATGTAAATCAAACTAAAACCTATCGTTATTTATTTGTGCCATTTTATTCTACAATAGATCTGAAAAGTGTTTTTTTGTTTCAAAATTGATTGAAAAACTCAATAGATCATCTTATATAAAAATACGAATCTTACGAAGAAACTGTTCAATGTGATTTGTCATTTTTGCTTCCATATATTATACACATGTATCAGAACTGTTCCAAAAGAAGCGTCGTGAAAAGCTCTAGAAAAGCTGTATGAAAAAAAAATTCTTTTTACCTGTTCTAATGGTTTTTCTTATACTCAAAATGAACAAGTTACATGGCAGAAATCACTTCCGATCACACTGAAAATGTTGGAAGACTTTTTGTTCTGCATATAACTTGACTCGGAAAAATGATGGAATATTGAATTTTTTTTTGAAAATATGTGCCATCAAAAGCTCTACAAAACTTGTATAGACCAAATCCTATAGCCAATCAGAAAAGTCTGCTCGATCTATCTCTAGAAATGATGGAAAGCGACCCCGACATGTAAGTTGTTCATTTTGAGTATAAGAAAAATCATTAGAACACGTAAAAAGAAATTTTTTTCATACAGCTTTTCTAGAGCTTTTCACGGCGCATCTTTTAAAAAAAAATTCAAGATTTTATCATTTATCTAAGCTGAGATATATGCGAAAAAAAAACGTTACAACATTATAGACACCCGAAATGTGTAAAAAGAAAAAATGTGACTTTTTTTTCTAATACACTTTTTATGCTTTAAGCTGCATTTGATATTCAATGTAAATATACGAAAAGATGCAGCGCGTTCTGGACTTTCTTCCTATATGTAGTTAGAGGTGTAAGCCGATGCTCGGATCGGCGGCGGCGGCGGCGGCTGAATTTTTAAAAAATTTTCGGTGTGTCGGCTGGCGGCGGCTACAAAAGTCTCAGGTTTCGGCGGCGGCGGCTGGATTTTTAAAAAATTTTTCGGTGTATCGGCGGCGGAGGCTAAAGCTTAAAAAACTTTTTCGTATGTCGGCGGCTGAAAATTTGGTATCCGTGTTTTTTATAATTTTTTTATTTTCGAAATATTTTTTCAAATGAAGAATAGAGAAGATGTTGATAGAAAGCTTATTCCAAAGAAACTAGACGAGGACCTCCTCAAAAACTGATCCTGAGTACTGAGAATTTTCAAAAATTATAAAAATTTTTTTTGTGTTTCGGCGGCGGCGGCTGGAAATAGGCGGTAACTATGTATGGCAACAGCGGCGGCGCGGCTGGAGAGTTCCGGCATCGGCGGCGGCGGCTTGAAAAATTTTAAAAATTTACTGCCCATTGGCGGGGACTGTATTTCGAAAACTTCTTATGTCAGTTATGATACGTGAAACAGTATTGAAGTTTTTTTTTTATTTGTGCCAAATTTTGAAAATATAATTTATCTTGAAAAGTTGAATCCAAGTTCAGAAAAACTTGTTGAAATCCTAATATGAGTCAATATAAGATATTGTGACTTTTTCTAATTAATAGTTGTGATACATGTACATTAATATATTGAAGCAACAAATTATTTCGAACAATTTTCTCATTTAATAAATATGATCAATAATTAACTTATGATAATAATGAAAAAGATCTTTACTATTTGTAAATAAAAGTTTTCCGTTTGGACAAAAAAAAAACAAAAACCAATTTGATTTTCAATATTTGAAATTTTCCTACTTTAATTTGTATATATAAATGGAATAAAATCCATAAATAAAGAATAAGTATACAATCAAATAAAAACAAGTTATACATAAGTTAACAAAAAAAAAAGAAAACTAAAGTATTTATATATATAAACAAAAAAAAACAAACAAAAGAATAGTCATTGTGATGAATTAATTTCAATTGATTGATTGTTTTCTTCATTATTATTTGATTTATTCTTTTTTAAATGTTGTTTATTATTTATTTTTTCATTTTTATATGCATTGGATTTTTCTCCATATTCAACTTTTTCAGCATCGGATAATTTTTGAAAATATTCTTTCGTCTAATAAATATAAAATACAAAATAAAATCAATCGAAATTCAAGAAAAATACTTGTGGATCAGCAGATTTCCATAGAGCACCAAGTTCTGATAAAATTTCTTTTGGTGATAAACCAGGATTTTCATTCTAAAAAAAAATTAAAAAATTAAAAAAAAAAAAGAAAAAGAAAAATAAATTACTTTAACTTGATTACGTTTTTCAATGGAAAATAAAATATAAGCTGATCGATAACGTTTAGGTGCTTTTGGATCTTTTGATTTTTTATTTGATTTCATTGTATTACTTTTTGCCATTGTTTTTATTATTATTTAAATTCCAATAATAACGAATCAGTCAGACAGGAATTGTTAACAGATTGAAATAATCAAATAAATTTCGAATATATCATGTCCTTATATACTTCTCGATTTATTCGTTTTTTTTTTATTTCGTCGTCTTATTTAAACGTCCGATTTGAATTATGTATTCTCGACATTTGTTTATCTTAATCTAGGCTTCGATTATTTGAATCTATTAGTTTATCTATAGACAATTATGTTTAAATAAATCGTTTGAAAATAAATTTGATCGTTATATGTTACTATTTAACTAAATTTTATTGTAAATCTAAATAGAACAGAATTCTAGAATCTGAACTTTTTTTGATTTGCACCTGTTTTTTCGATAAAATTTGTTATATGTTTTTGATCATGCGAGATAGAAGTCTCTTTTTTTTTTGAACAAGGCTTTTTTACTAGTATAGAGTGTTTCAAGTTTCTATTGATTGTAAAAAAAAAAGAACGTGAATTTATTTTAGTCAGTTGAAGTTATTTATATGATTTGTTTTTTTTTCAATGTTATATCATAGTACGTTCGGTAAACTGTTAGTTTCTGATAAAATTTTCAAAAATAAGAATACAAATTCTTTTATCAATTTTGAATTATTTATCATTTGAAAAAAAAAGTAAATATAACTATGAATTTAATATAGAAACGATAAATATAAATTCTATTCGACAGATTTTTCAATATTCTTCTCAAACATCTTCAAAAGTTACAAAAGAAATAAAAACAAACTAAGTTGATAATATTTGTGAATATGAGCTACTATTATCTATTTGATCTATTGCAACATTTTGTTTCATCCCCACATCAAATGATAACCGAACATATTCAAATTAATTCAAAAAATATAGAATTTCTACAATAACTTGACGAAGAAAATTCATAAGTTTTGTTTTTTAATCCACAAAAAAACACATTTAATTCAAATGAAAGAAAAACGAATCTTAACAAGAGTTGTATTAAAAATATCTATCTCTTCTTTTTCCATCAGCAACTTGTTATTCAACTGTAGATAAGGCATTATATCCTGAACTATTCAGAATTAGTGAATTCGAGAAAGTTTTTCCGACGTAATTTTCTTCTATCGAGCTTAAATTTTTACTATAGATATTTGCAAGTATACTTCAAATGTTATTTTAACATTTTCCAAAAGTCTCACTTTGTTTTTGTTTTTTTTTAATAAGAGAAATGCGTAAAGATTCTGAACCAAAATCCGAATGTTTCCTTTCTCAATCTGAATAGATAAATAAAAAAATGAGAACATTTAATTTTACTTCTGAAGAATATCTACGATGAAAATTTCAAGTCAATCGAAAAAAGTTACGAGAGATATAGAAATGAAAATATCATCATAGTTCGAATATATTCGAAGAGTTTCATTTAGATTTAAATGTACTTGATCGAAGATCAATTTTTGAAGAGAATAGAAAGAAAACTTAAATTATTTAGAAAAGAAAATATTTATATAGTTTAAAATAAAAATAGCTGCTAATAGAACTTTGAGAAGTTCACACTTTTGTTTTCATCTGTTTTTTTTTTGTTTGGGTTCACTTTCATTGAAATATAAAAATATTTACTTTGAATTTATTGTTAAATATTGATTATTTTTTCGATTAGATAAATAAAAGCAATTTTGTATTTATTTTCAAAATTCTGATATAGAAAATCTTATAATTATATTGTTGAAATTAAAATAAATTAATGTTTACTAATGAAATATAAATTTAATTAGTATTTAAATATATTCTATTTATCTATGTTTATTTAAATATAATCGAACTAATTAACTTATGATTTCCTTAATGTTTTTCTTTTTGTTTTATCTTTAATGATGAAAGATATTGTTTTTTTTTTTTTTTTCTAGAAAATCTATTTTTTAACAAGAAAATAATACTAATTAGTTGACACTTTTATTATATGAGAAGAGATATATTTTTCTTTTATTTATATAACTAATGAATATTTCTATGAAACTATATTTATTATTATAAATAATTAAACAATTTGTTAAGTTAAAATAAAATAAGTTTTCTTTTATTTCTATGAAACATTTAAGATGTTATAGACAAGAATAACATATTATTTAATAACAATAGAATAGATGTTTTTAATTGTTCTCGTTTTTTTTCTTTTGTAACTATTATTGGAAATAATGTATCTTTTTGTTTTATGTCTATGTCATAATGTGACATGTCCTTTTTTTTTTTTTTTTTTTTTTTCTTTATTGATCTTCAATGAGAATAAGAAGAAAAATTGTTCGATAGTAGAACAACAACAACAAGCAATAAGCAACAAATCTAAACGGTAATAATGTTGATGATGTCTGCTAAAAGAAGAAGGATGCTGATAACAACAAGAAAAGAAAAGGATAAGAGACAGTAGGGAAGAAGACATTATCATTGACACGTCCTTCTTAAAACAGTAACACTAACTCCAACCAACTCTTATTTATCTATAAACAACCCATACCAACTGATTACCTCTTTATTTATCTATACAAACATATTTATATATAGTGAGTACAATTATTAGATTGAAAAACATTTTTTTTTGTTTTAAATTTACATTCTTTTATCAATTTATTTTATTTTGGAATTTATCAGTATTTAATATCAGATCTATTAAATGAGATATTTACTTTTTTAAATTTATAGTTATTTATCTATTCGTCATTTCACTTATGCATGACGCATGACAAGTGATTAAATGTTGAGAAATAAAAGAGTAAAGAAAAAACTGATCCATTTAAAATGATTAAGGATAATGATGATGATGATAATGATGTTTCATTAGTATTTATGTTCAATCGTACGTCTGGACAGGTTTAATCTGTATATCGTCTATATAGAAGTTGGCAGATTGTTGTGTATATGTGTGTGTGATGAGAGTAGGTAAGATGAAATCGATGAAAAGAAAAAAAAAAAGTAATTGATTTTTTTTTTTGCTTCTGTTTGTGAAAGAGTCTAATCGTTCAATGTTGAGTGTCAAAGTATGTCATCAGACGAGACTGTCAACTCCTTCTTTTTGTTCTTTATGTTCCGATCAATTGATTATGTAACGCTTTCATTGCTCACATCATATTATTGAAATCTAATCAGAATAAATAAATGTGCCAATAGATCGACAAACGATAAAAAAAAAAAGAAAGGTGAAAGATCCTGAGGTAATCAAACTTAGATATTTAGTTAGTCTTTTCTTGTTATTTTTAGCAATTGATGACAAACAGTTGCTTGTCCTTCTTCGTCATATTTTACAATGTTTTTTTTTTTTTTTAGTATTGCACTTCTATAAATCGGTGAAGGACAAATAGAAAACGTTTTTTTGTCTTCGCTGTTCTTTTAGCAGTGTGAAGTTTTCATATGAGTTTCGTTCGATTAGGTATGTTACATAGACATATGTCTTTTTGGTTTTATATGTCTCATTAAAAAAATTCTGGAAAAATTTGTTTTATTTAATCCTCATTAAGATCGTTCTTGTCCAACGAGTTTTTCTTTTTTTTTTTTCTGATAGAAATTTTTTGTATTCACTATGAGAATCAATCAACAAAATGCAAATGAATTCATCTATTAAATTATTATTTAAATGAAAGAGAAGAACTTTTTTTTTTTTTTTTTCTTATGAATAAAACAATTGTTTTGTTATTCAATCAATATCATATTTGTCCATTGTCGATAAACCATTTTGACTACCGGAAAAAAGATACATAAGTTATTTAAACAGCTTTTTTTTTCTTTTCTTTGTGAACGTTTGCATTCCTGGAGCTAGACGCATAAATGCACACTTCCGTCTGTCTAACTTCATCCTACTAATTGGAAAAAAAAAAGTTCGACATAGAATGTCATCATATGCTAATTCTTTCGTCCATTTTTACATTACTTTTTTTTTTTTCTAGATATTATATTCATGCAATTATATACATAGAATAAGAACGAGTTTTTTCTTCTTCTTCTTTTCTTTCTTTGCCCTTCATCACCATCACCTATAATTGACTTTCTTCTTGTAAAGCTTGAACAAATACACTGTGTCTTTCTCGTTTTTTTCTTTATAACTACTAGGAGTTTACTCTAGTTAGATAAATAAATAACTATATTTGACCACATGGTCGATTCACATTAACTCACTAATCGTTCTATTCACCATTATAATCTATTAGTAAAAGTAGTGTTGTCTGCATTGAATTATGTCTTATGATCATCTGTTTAGAGATGATATATTTGTCATCTATAGAGAATACCAACATTTGATATTGACATGTATATTCAAGGTTAAGTTTTCTTTCAACAAATCAATTTATTTATGTCTCATATAGATAATAATCATCTAATCAAAATTTTAGTTTAACTTTTTTATTTAATAATATAATTTAAAGAAAAAAAAAATTAATTTTTTGATTATTATTTAATTGAATATTTTTCATCTATATCGATATAATTATCTTCTATGGTGAGTATCTCAGTATGGAATATTATGACAGATTTTTCATCAACAATCAAACAGTAAGAACATCTGTTTTTCTCATGCTGATGAATTTATAGTTATATTCCGTTACATTAACTTTTCTGCTATATCATCAAATATTCAATTATCAATAATTGACACTTTTTTAAAAAAAAACTAACTATTTAAATCATTTTCAAGTATTTCATTATATTAAGTGATTTATTTTTTTGTTTCTCTATAAATGTATATATATGTTTAAGTTGACTTTTAAAAGTAAACTTCAACCTAAGTCTAAACATAAAAAATATTTTCTCTGATCTATTATAGTCTATCGATATGTGAGAGTGATTTTATAGAATGGAACGAATCGATAGCATATTATCATAGTGTATTGTTGTGGATTTGCTGTTTTGACACATATCTCGTTTTTTTGTTCTTGTCTAATCAATATATCGATAAAAGAGAAAAGAATAGATATAGAATTGATAAATAGAACAATATTCTTTCTCTTTCTATATTTCAGAAAACT